CCGTGACTGACTGGCGAAGTGGGGCACACAATCTGATGCTGCAGCTGCAACGTGTGAGGCACGATATGACTGCTGTGAAGGATGAATTGGAAGAACTGCAGCTGAAGTGTACAGACCTGGAGAGGAAAGATAACTGCAGAGGAAGACCGATTAGAAGCCATCATGCTTGAGAAGAAGGCACTCAAAGGTTATATTCATGCTTATGGACAAGATGTCTGAGGATTTTATTTGTTTGTGTTATCGACCTTTTTGTTTTATATGTTTTCTTCTGTGAGTAAATCTATTCGTTTGTACTGCTTCTTTTATCGTTGTTGCTATTTGTTATAACTCTCTCGTATTCATGGGTGATGCCGTTATTTTCTGTTATTTCTTTTTTATTGATTCTTCTTTTTTGCGGAGAAATAAAGTAAGACACAATAAGAATTATTGTAATGATAATGATGACACGCTACGTGTTGTGTGTTATGCTTCTTGCACTTTGTTGTACTTGCACTTTCGTGTGTGCTAATACTGAGCCTCAAGTTGAAGTTAGTGAACCTGAACCTGAAGGTGGTGGTACTTCGAACCATGGGGCTCGGCAGGCTGATGGTGCTGGAGGAAGTGGAAAGGGAGGACAAGGAAATGGCCAAGGAGTTTCACCAGGTGCTCCTGCTGCAATTCCACCTAAAGGAAAAGGGGATAAGGAAAAAGAACTGTTAGACAGTCAGGATAAATCGGAACTTAACAAAGATCCAGGACCAGTTGGTCCTCAGGGCCATTCAGAAAGCCAACTACCAGGAAAGAGTACTCAGTCTCCTCTTCAACCTGGTACTTCATCAGAACCAGTAAAAGGAGAGAGAATGCATAGAGCCTCTTCTCCATCAGCAAATCAGAACGATCAAATTCAAAGTGGAGGTAAAGCGGATTCGAAGGAAAATGAACAAGTAATTGCGAAAACGGAATCGGGAAATAATGGTGGATCCAATTCTGGAAGTGAAAAGAATACTGTTGGCTCTCTCACTGCAGAGGAACCCAATGCTAATAGTGAAGAACATGAGTTGGAAAATGCACCAACTTCCCCCAACGAGAATGTTACGCAAGGTACTAACGATGCAGGCAACAGTAGTGCTGTACAGATTCAAGGAAGTACAGACAAAGAATCTGAACCTGAGAATGGCACTACACCCAATACTAATGAGGAATCATCCTCAACCACCACAACAACAACAACAACACTTCCTCCTGAACTCACAAACAACAAGAAGGGTGATGCAGACAGCAGCAACAGCAGTATCAGCAGTTCTGTGTGGGTGCGTGTGCCACTACTGATTGTGGTTACACTGGCCTGTATTCTTGTGTGCTGATTGAGTAATGGTGGTGGTGTGGTGTGACTCAGGTCATCCTTTGTTTTTTTTTCTTCTCTTTGCATGCATCCCTACAGTCTAACTTATCTTCCACCTGTTGGGATTATCCTCTTTTTTTGTTTCTTAATGTTAATGTGTTTTGTTTGTTTTTACTCTCTTTGTTTATCCTATAATTATTATTATTGCTACTACTCCATTGTGTGTGTGTGTGTGTTCTTGGAGACTCTCTCTGTGTGTGTGCACCTGGGCTTGCACTGTAATGATAATGATGAATTGCTTTTTTGCAGTGGGAAAAAAGGAAATAATACTAACAGATGAATTTATATTCATAATTGCTTGTATACGGACACATGTAGACTTATACCCATAGTTGTTGTATATTTCTGTGTTTACTGGGTAAATTGGGCTAATGATTAATATCTTTGTTTGTTTTGTTTATTGTTGTGTGTTTTGACCTGCAGCGTTCTGGTGATATGCTTTCTGCAGAAAAAAGAAAAAAATAGTGAATTTTACAATTTGTATTCTTAATTGTTTGAACAGATCAGTGTACCCAGAGAGTTGTGCTTTTTTTTTTTGTGCGGTTGGTGCTTCTGTTAATTTGTTTTTTCAAACATTGTTTGCTTGTGCGCATTGTGCTCTCAGTTTCAGTGATGCGTTGAATTTTTTTGTGCAGAGAGTAAATAAAAAAGGAATTCATTTATATTCATAATTTTGTACATGGGTCTACTGAAAGTTAAGGGTTATGTATTTCTGTGCTTGCTTCTGATGGTTGTTCTCTTGATTTCTTTTTTTTTCTTTTGAGGGGTTAATTGGGCTTATCTGTTTGTTAATGGGTATTGTATGCTTGTTTCTTTCATTTGGACACTATCTGAGAGATGGTTACAGCTTTCTGTTATGCCCAGTTTGCTATTACCCTTTTCGTTTTGTTCTCTTTATGTTTTTTTCTTTATTTATGTTTTTGTTGCCTCTTTCTGTTTTTGTTTGGTTCAGACTACCTCTTTGAGATAGTGACACCAACGAAAAGAGTAATGATGTCAGTACGCAATGTCTTTTGTGCTCTCACTATTGCACTCTGTTGTCTCTGCAGCTGTGTGGTAGCTGCTCAAGCTGAAGCTCTTGAGACGTTGACTGAGGAACATGGTACTGAGGTCCTTCCTCTTCCTGTTAATGAACATTCTGAAGTTTCTCGTTGTCCATCTGGTTCATCCCCTGTGAAAGGTGATAATCCTAAATGTTCAGAGAATGGTGGAGGTAAAGATCATGTTCCACCTCCTCGTCTAGTGGATAAGGAACCGCCGTCTGAGCCACTAATCAAAACAAGGGAAGAACAGCCAGAGGAGGGAAGTGTTAGCAGCGGTACGAAAGATGGACTCACCGAACGAGAAACAGTAGAAGAACGAGTCGAAGAAGTAGAGGGGAGACATGTCAAAACTCCAGGTGTTGATAATGAAAAATCTGGTTCCCTTACTGTTGCTGAAGAGTGTCGAGGTGCTGCTGTTGAGACTCATTCCCCATCACGTACGCCTGCACCAGGTGGTAAAGTGCAATCCCAGCATGAAGAAGAAGCGTTGGGAACTGAGGGACAAAATGTGGATGTCTCTCCAGCTGATGGAAGAGGGAAAGGAAGCCAAACTGCTGAAGAGCGAAACGAAGTGAACCTGGAAGATCCTCCACAAGGAGAGCTGACTGAGAATGCAAGGAGAACTGAAGCATCTTCAACTAATGAAGTGGGCAGTACAGTGACTGAAGAGAATAACGGGAATCAACAAGAAGGTGGAAATGGCGTTCAGTCTACTACAGAGACTTCACCTGCACCTGCAGAGAGTGATTCAACGAGAGACAATGTCAACACAACCAGTAATGAAGAATCAACCACCACCACCACCACCACAACAACAACACTTCCTCCTCAACCTACAAACAACAAGAAGGGTGATGCAGACAGCAGCAGCAGTATCAGCAGTTCTGTGTGGGTGCGTGTACCACTACTGATTGTGGTTACACTGGCCTGTATTCTTCTTGTGTGCTGATTGAGTGATGGTGGTGATGGTGTGACTCAGGTCATCCTTTGTTTTCTTTTTTGCATATAGTCCCTACAGTCTAACTAATCTTCCACATGTTGGGATTATCTCTTTTTTTTGTGTTTCTTAATGTTAATGTGTTTTTTGGTCTCTGTGTGTTTATCCTATAATTATTATTATTGCTACTCCATTGTGTGTGCGTGTGTGTATTCTTGGAGACTCTCTCTGTGTGTGCACCTGGGCTTGCACTGTAATGATGATGAACTGCTTTTTGTAGAGGGAAGAAGTAAATGATAATAACAGATGTATTTATATTTATAATTGCGTATACACACACATATAGACTTACACCCATAGTTGGTGTATATTTCTGTGTTTACTGGGTAAATTGGGCTAATAGTTAATATCTGTTTTTTTTATTTGCAGTTGGTGTTGCTGGGTCATAGTGTTTTTTCTTCTGCGGCATTGATAACGGTGAGTCCTTGGAAAAATAAGACAGTAACAGACAAATATAGTATTAATTTCATATTAGCTCAAACATACGCACAGTTCTCTAGATTGTGTATTTTGTGCTCTGAATTTCTTTATTTTTTGTTTTGTTTGGACTTTAGTGCATGTGGTGTCACTTTATTCTTCTATTTATTGTTTGTACTGTACTTTTACTGCTGTTTTTGTTTTGCTCTTTTCTTTGTATTTTTACTGTGTTACAATTGTTTTTGTTCTTCCTTCTTTTTTTCTTTTTGCAGTTAATTGATCTTAAACAGCACAAAAAACTTTTTTCACGAAATGGTCCTTGTGCGACGTCTGTTGTATCTTCTGCTTCTGCTGTTAAGCGTGGCATGTGTGGTGGCAGGTGAGTCACCACAACAAAAAGGTGAACTTACTGAAGTGTCTCAAGGGAATTCGCATCCTTCTGTAGGTGCTGGAGTTATTCCTGGTGATGGTGATGCATGTAAAACTGAACCGACTGGTTCAGAGTGTCCTCGTATCAGTAGTGAACCCGAAGTTCCTCCTGCTGAATGTGCGGATTCTCTTGAGAAGGAAGGTTGCAAGCCTACTGATCTTAACACCAAAGGCAGTTGCCCTGATGATTCCAAGCCATCTTGTACACCAAAGGCAATGCAGGAAGTGGGTCCTGCTGAAGCAGAAGAACATCGTGTAAACACTAATAGCGAACTTTCAGCTCCCATTGGTCCAGCTGTTCCTGCAAGAGCCGGGGATTCTGTTTCTAACGAAGCACATGAAGGTAGGGCTGAAGCACGTCACGGTGGTGATCCCGGTGAAAAAAAACTTCCGGAAACTCAACCTGGAAAAGAAACTGAAGCTTTTCCT